ATGAGTACAAGTGAGCTGCATCGTTGTAAATTCTGTATTGTTAAGACAGGCACAGGCAAAAGGGCAATATAATAAATATATATATAAATGTATAATGTTATGAGAGTTGTGCTATTTCATATAAACATTTATGTTTTCGTGTTATAATCTGTGAAAGAGGCATAATTTATGTTTATTTCATAATTTTTTATAATGGTTGCAAGATCGGTCAAATCTACCAAACCCATACAGAGATTAATTACTGAAAACAACAGATAAAATATAAAGGTTTTCTTAAGAAATGTTTGATAACTATCCAAACATTATGAAGATTCTGCATGTGAAATTTCAGAATTTTCTGATGCATAAAAGTATTTTTAATCTTAAAATGAAAATTACTTTGCATAATAGATAGGAAAGATGTGAAAAAAACAGGCATGAAAGAAACATGACTTTAGAAACCTTAAGACTTAATAAAAAAAATTAAATATTTTGCATATGAAAGCATCGCAATGTTTACTGATAATCTACCAAATTTTGTTAACATTCGCTTACTAATTTAAAAGTTATAACATGAAAAATATAACAAGCATAAAATGGTTACGAGGTCAGTCCAAGGGACCGAGCCCAGGTTGAAAGAGATAAAGAGATCTGACCATAAATTTTATAACATGCCCACAGCCCCAAAGTGTGGAGCTTATCTGTGCTACAACATGACATGAACATAAACTCTCGGATTTACAGTCCAGGCACACTAATCACCAGTCTACACCCAGCCTCATATCCTTCAAAACACTGTCTCAATTCTGATCTAAATATGATCTTTGCATATTCTTGTGCATGAGTGGTTGTGGTAAAGATAATCAATTTTCTATAAGTCACTATTATAACACATAATGACAAAGTAACAAAAGTGTAAATTAAACTGACAATATACTGAACTATAATACAACTATAGGGTTTTTATCATCCTGAACTGTAACAAAATGTACTGTTCAAGGCAGTATATGAAAGCATAGTAAGTGCATTAAATCCTGTATAAAAATAACATTTTCGTCAAAATTGCATAATTTGTTTTATAAAAAACTTTTATATTAAATCTCTTTCCAAACTTGCAGAATGTTTCAGCAATTTACATCTTAGTAATTTTTCAGTGGAACATGCACAGGTCAAATCAGAAGCAAGAGCAAACATTTAGATGCACGCAAAAAGGATGTGACACATACTCCAGGGGCAATTTCATATTTTCTTCCACAACAAGAGGGTCACTTAATATATATGAGGATCACACAGAGTTATACTACATTGGGGTCAAGCACTGAAGTATTACATGTGTATTATTCATGGTTATAATAAAAATAAACAGTTACTTCCATAATTTGCCAGTGGAAACTATCTCTTAAAAAGATTTCTAAATCATATGTACTAACTAATTTTCTTATGCAACTAGCCCTTCTAAAGTTTAAAGGTTAGTTCATTTGAAAGTGGTTTCACTGGCATTTGAAGGTATTTATTGATTTTTTTCAGATAACAGTTATTGATCTGTTAGTTAAACATAAGCTATAAGTAAATAATACAGCAGAATCAATCCTAGTAGAGATGTGTCAGTTACAGTGATTGCAACCTAACAATAATCTTTGGTTAAGATTTTTGAGTGTCTAGGGAAAATTTTGGATGTTTTTATGCATAAACACAGATTGCATTGCTCTCTTACAGAGAAGCCATTAATTTTGTATAAAGTTTAATAAAGATTATTTATTTAATTATTTTGCAAAAGTCAGAAGAAATGCAACTCTCATAATAATCATCATTGTTCAAAATAATGTTATATTCTTGTTCTTTTATTTCTTGTTTTATTCTTTTCATCATTATGTTCATATATGGTTTAATTAAACATTATTATCATCATTACTGAGACTCCAATAAGAAAGTAATTAAATACAACAATTCAAAACAAGTTATACCACTTTTGTCATACAGTGTATTATTAATCAGTTTCCATGTTGAACATTTCGGACTTTGTGTTTAAGTGTAACTGAATTGTTATACAAGTACTAAAGAAGACACTAATAACTATATTTCTTTGGAAAAGAAGACCCAACAAAAAACACAATTGATCATTTTAGAATGTTACAAAGTTAATTATATGTATTTCTTTATACAAAGAGTATTGACAATAATTATGGAAACTGTGAGGGAAAAGGGTATAAAAAGCAAATACTACTGGAAGGCCACACCTTTATTGTGTGAAAATCTATCACACCAAAATGAAGTCACATGCTGATAGCTTACACTGTTACTAGTTGTTATCCAAGCCTTCTTTCAGTAAGACTTGTATGCAAGACTCTAAAGAGGGTACATGAAACTGGCACTGTTAATAATAAAAGTGGTCAAGGTAGAAAACTAAACTCTCCAAAAATGATGTTAGTATCTCAGGGTATAATATTTGTAAGATGGAAAAGGGTTGAATACTACTTCCAGACCAATAAGATACACATTAGCACAAAGTGATATCAGTAAATAATAATGATTATTCAACCCCAGAGCATGATAACACATGTATGTTTAGGCTTTCTGTAAACAGCATATAGTTCATAATTGTAAACACCATATACGAGAAACTTTTTAGTAATTGAGAAATGTTTTGTGTTTAGCTGGATTTGTTTGTAAATAGTTTACTTTAACCAGAAAACATATTAACTGACCCGTTGTATCACATTTTTATAAAGTAATTTAAGAAAATAACATAAGCTTTTACTGTATAATGCAATGATACACTAAAACAAAGGCTGTTCAATGCAGAATATATAGTTCAAAATGTATAATAGATAGAGCTAATGGTCATTGAAAGATTCTTGTGCACAAAAAGAAAGAAATTTTATATATAATACAATAATAATCCTGCATCAAGAAGAATCATCACTATCACTTATCAAATTTTGATGTCATATACACTTTGATGTTCATGTAAAAGAGCAGTCTTAAATATGTAATCATTTCTGAAAAATTCCTTTGAGCAAGTGCTCCAAATAACCTGAAAACCAATAAATACAGTATTAAATTATTTCTAAAATTTGATGCACTTTTCAAGTGGTTTTTGTTGAACTATATAACCAACTAAAATCTTGTATCCAGATAATATAACAATGGCAATAACAATAAAAGTATGATTTTAAATCAGAAGATAGGATAGTTATATGAATAAAAGACAATTTCAAAGTTAAAACAACAGTAAAAAAACAGAAAAATGGAACCAACCTTGCTACTAGAAAGATCATTAACATAACAAATGTCTCCAGTTTCACCATCTATCCTCTGTAACCATCCAGGAGGCAGCTTAAGAGAGCTTGAACTTTCTTGTTCCAATAAAGAATTAGATGTTTGAAAATTATTTATGGAAGTTTCCGAAGAGCTAATTTTATCAGTGCCATTATCACCATGCTGACTTTCACATTTCTGGAATGGCTTTGGACTAGTAGGAGACTGTAATGGTATTGTAAGAATAGTTATTCTTTACAACAGCAGAGAAAACTGAAACTAAAATAAATTAGAATGTAAACGTGTGATTGAAGGTATAGCTTAACTGTGTGATGAAAAATACAGAAATATTTTCAACACCACATTCACCTTGCCCTCCAATTCACTTACACAAGTTCCAGTGAAAAACTTCCATTTCTGGATATCAAACTTTATCTCTGTAATAATCTTATTGTTGCTGGTGTATATTATAAAACAAATAATTTCATTCCTAAATACATTTTGATTCTTTTCATTCATACAATGCTAAACAACCCATCTCTTATTCTCAATTTTTAAGACAATACACATTATACAGTGAAGAAGTTGATGATTTTACTAACAAAACACAAAAAATAATCTTTTTAACAGAAGAAGCTACCCAAGTCTAATATATCCAGTGCTGTCTTGAAGACAGCTAATAAACCTCATGAATCATCCTTTTTAATCAGACTCAAGAGAGAACAAAGATCACATTCTTCTAGTTCTGACATATTATCTTAACAACATAGAACTCAATAACGTAATCATGGAAACTACAAAATACACACAGAAGATCATACCACCAACATAATGTTTAGACTGATGCTTAATATCCTTCGGGCATAGAACTAATGTTCATATTTTTGTACACAGTGCATTAGCAACTAATAACCATACCCAGAATCTACCTAGTACCAAACATATAACAACCCAGACGCATCACTTTTGAATATGTAAACAACACTGTTCTGATACAAGGATCTAAATTAATATTTCACACAAGACAGTCATTCACTCTGTGCATCCCACTGTCTTGTTTACAATATAATATGCAAATGTTGTGGATGGCGTAGGAGGCAAAATAAAAAAAATACTTTGGGGTGAAAACCTAATAACATCTTAGTGACATAAGAAAACAAAATAAAGACTATTCTTGTGAACACCATTTCAATAGTCCTGAACATGACAAAGTTGTTTCTTCTTAGTGAGGCCCAAGTATGCACCTTCACATATCATTAAAAGAGAGAAGTCTTGAAAACCAAACGAATTTATGAATTAGGCACTCTTCACACAAACATCTTAAATCAATGTTTCTCCTTTCAATAACTTTAACACACATATACTTTGCTATACTGATCATTATCTACAAGTTCAAAATTACCATTTATTATCTTAAATGTTATCTTCATTTATCAACTGCTTTTCTCATTCAAAACTTTTAAGTAGTGCAGTACTATTAGACTGTACATGTATCGTTACATGTGTTTACTTTAACAAATATGTTATAGTTTAATCTTCATGCCAATTCAAACCTTTAATAGTCTACTGTTAGTTCTGAGGAATGGTAGTAGACCAAAATGTTGACTGTACTAATAAATACATCACTCATCAGCAATATTTAACCAATTGTTTTTTTTTTTGGTATTGACTTTCATTGCTAAAGTAGTTTCTGTCAAGAGTTCAACTTTAATAGTTAGTAGCCTATGCAATCACCCAAGTTTTCATTAGTAATTAGTTACTTTGTTTTGTTACTAGATATTAATTACTAAGTAGTTTATATCCTACATTTATATTCCTAGTCTATATCTTCAGGGACACCCTAGACGAGAAGATTGCACACCAGCCTTTCTTTCACAAAGATACAGGATCAAATCCCTTCCACTAAGCACCACAAACAGTCCTTCACACAACATACCTGAGGGTGGTAGTAGATTAGCAGACAAAACATTTGTTATCAATTATTTAATAATTAATACTTAGTAGTAAAAAACTTAAAACTAATTAATAATTAAATTTAGGCGATTGTATTGACTACTAACCATGACAAATATATAATTGCCTCAACCTCACTTAAAAAAGCATTTATACGGGTTTTTGTGTGTGTGTGTGTGTGTGTGTGTGTGTGTGTGTGTGTGTGTGTGTGTGTGTATAAAGGAAAGATAGTCTTACAAATAATATTATTTTTACAAATTCTTTTAAAAAATGTTCTATCATCATAAACAAAAACAGAAATTAACCAACATGCTGTTCTGTGCATAAAAATTAGGACTGGATTCAATTCTGGCTGTGATTTTGAAACAGCATGAATTCTGGCAGTTAACCATTTGTACTGAAAGTATCACACTTTGAAATAGAGAGAGCTTTCTGCATTTAGGTTTACGTGTTTTGATTAATCTATTTAATCCCACTCTCTACCACTATGCATAACATAAAATCATCCATTGCACAATATTAGGCCAAGAAGAAAGTTAACAAGTTTAAAACATTATTAATTTCATACATGATAGTGCATAATAAATGCAGTGCAACAAATAAGTGGTAAAAAATATAAACACTTTTACATAATGAGCTATGTTTAAAATAATATCTGGCAAATTCTCTGAAATTTATTAAATGAAGAGTTCATTTTATGTATTTTCAACGTATGCTGCAGAGCTTTTCCAGTTATTTAATTCCATTTTCACTACTGATCATAATACTTTTAAATACAAGTTTCATAAAAACAAGGTTATAAAAAATGTTAAATGGATTACACTGAAGTCTACTTATAAATAAACTTTATTTAAAAATAAAGAAATAAATAAACACATTCAGTTTAATCCAACTAATAATTGTGTGTTTTTCTTATTTTTAAAAAAATTAGTTTAAGTTGATTTAGAAGTAAATTAAGGAAGTGTAATTTTACCTGAACTACTAAGAAGGACAACTGTCCAGGAATATCCCATGACTTAGCTCTGGTGATTCTATTGTAATAAAATAACCTGCCTGTCTCATCTTCGTACTCAGCCCAGTGGTTCAAAAGAATTCGACGAAGGTGATCCTTTGGCCCTGGAAAAGGTGGTGTTGACTTAGCTAAAGTGGCCAAATTAGCATAAATAGGATCCTGCAATATATGAAAAAGAAATTATGGAGCAGAGCAATATATATATATATATATAATACACATTTATACAGTGTTACAGGTCTTTAAAAATAGAAATATACAGTCAAAACTGAAATAGATAAAATACATTAAATGGATAAAAATTGTAGTTCAAAAAAGCAGTGCAATATATTGAATCAGAACAAGAATAAATGCAACATTTTTAAATATATTTTTAGCTTCACAAACATACTTTTCATGAAGTTAAATTGACAATACCACCAAATTATCTCTCACAATTTCATCTATTTTCAAATATATTTTTCTTCCTAAAAATAATGGTACTAATGCTATTGTGTGTGTGTGTTTTCATAATAAAATGAAATTTAAATAATTAATGACTTAGGAATGGGTATATTTTCTCTACTTATGACACTCAGTGTAGATATTATTTGACATGTTTTTGATTTTGAACATTTCAGTCAGGAATGAGTGTTATATAAGATAATCAATAAGTAGTAATAAATTATATACTTTAGAGAGAAGCAAGAGAGGCCTAACAGAATGAAATTAAAGCATGTATGTAAGTTTGTTACTCAGAAGTACATGTACATATTTATTCAAAATCATATGTCAATTGCATGCATTCATGTAATTATTACATGGATTGTATGTGTACACACACACATACATATCTTGGATGGAATGAATCTAGAAACCATGAACAGAACTGAAGATGAGACCATTTTTCTTGAGTAGGAAAGAGAAGTTAGATGTTTTGAGGCAATAGAATTGTCTGAGTGGCTTGAAAAAGAAGACAGCTGCATTAAAATCACACAGACTGTCCCATTACAAGGAACAGAAGCACTGAAATAACACCTAGTTATTCATATCCTTCCCCAAAATAAGCTCACTCCGGCATCTTAGTAAACCTGAAACAGGTAGAATTCTCCATATAACTTTTGGAAAACGTTGTATGACGTTGTAACGTCAAAACATGTAGAGTCGTCAACTTTTTGAAGGCCAAAGATAGGCCTAAATAAAATGTTTTTAATTGTGTACCAGTTTAACATTGAATATTATTTATGATTTCAACTTTATACACAAGTGCCAAAATACTATAATTATTTCATGCTAGTGTCTCATTTATAAGACATTATAGGTTTGTTAGGGAACATTTGACTGTGTTATGATGTGAAATTTGTCAAGCAATATATTAATTATTTGTGTGTTGAATGTAAGGGGAATGCATTTATGACCAGTGGGAGTGTGTTTGAACACACGTTGTTGTGATCTCTAAATTATCCAGCAGGTTTGAGTTATAACTACGGACATAATTCAAGCTAAGGAATCTCTTAAAAGCACATAAAATATGAAGTGTTATGCTGAGAACTTCATGATGAACAAGTTGTGTTCAAATAAATATTCATGCAAGTTTAAAAAGTAAATTGGACACAATCTGCACATTATCTAATCAAAGTTCATCTGTACGTCACATTACACTTGTAAATACCTGTTAAGTAACTACTGTGCATCTCATGATATAAGGTTGACTTACTGTTACTTGAATCCTTCAATTTAAGAAAGAAGAAAAAAAAATACTGTGCACAATTCAATTTTCATAAAATTTATAATATTTACATGTATTAGAAACAAGTGAAATGAATTGTTTACTTCTTAGTTCATAGCAAAATAAGCAAGCCTCATAATTTTCACTACAAAGTTTCTTGTAGAAGCTAAATTAGGAAACAACACTATAGATCTGTATATTTCTAACAAGCTACAAGGCTTTCACAGAGGTGTTGCAAGCTTGTGAAATGAGAAAGGTTGGGAGCCACTGTGGTAAAACAACAGAGTCAGATGTTTGATATCTTGATAGATGTTAATAACATAAATGTCAAAATAACAATAAACAAAAGCAACTAATATGTAGTTAGATAGAGACAAATTGTGTTATGCATTCAAAGGCTCTAAAAAACACTGTAAACAGATGCATATACTACAACACATGCAAATTATAGCTTTTTTCCCACCAGAAATAAATGCATGTTTCTGAATATGTACTTAATTCAGAATTACACTAATTTTTATCAAGAATTCCTCCAGTCATCTAAAGAGGAGTGGTGTAGCAAGTTACTAAATTTTGAGTGGGTCTAGTGTTACGACGTATGGGCAGGAGGTTACATCCCCACAGAGTAAGTTACCTGGAGCTAAAAAACAAGTGTTACATGTGATGTATTCAGATGAAGGAACCATCATACAGATTCTGACTGGATGCACCTGAGTGCTATACACACTGTACAGAAGCATAAAAATTTACATTGTCCTGCTGCAACTAATTGCACAAGAAAATATTTCAAACAATTAAAAAATTTCTATATTTCTTCAGAGAACTAGACTTTTGAAATATGTGAATACATGGTTTTCATCATGTATCTTCATTATTTATTTAGATTTTCAAATAGTGATTTTTGAAGCACTTCATATTCAGACAAGAATACGGGTGCTTCATTTTACTTTGATACAAAATAACCAAATACATGTACTGCAGCCATTTTGCTGAAACTTAAGCAAACTCACCTTTACTTCCAGGATCAACATCCAAGATGCTATTGATGCAACTAAATAAAATGTATTTTTATTCAATAAAGAAATATTCTAAGTATACTCATGTTAAACATAAATCAGAAAACAAAATCTCTAAATCAAGAAATTATATATTAAACTTTTGACTGTCTTTCTTCTTAAGTTCTGATCTTACCTCAGAATCCTCAAGCAGACTGTCCTGACTACTTAATGATCCACTTTTTCCCTGAGAAAAACTAGACATTTGATCAGCTATATTTTTTTCTCCATCTTCAACAGATAAGTATTTTGCAAATTTGTCACTATCAACAGATATACCAACCATTTTGTTTTCATTTGCACTTAAAGGACAGTCAGTCTTAACACCAGTACTGTTTATAAGTTTCAAAAATGGGACTTCACTCTGAGTGAAAACTTTTTCTATCAATGCAGGCTCTAGCTTTGATTCACACCCATTTTTAGAATCTTCTAGAGTTTTCAATCTTACTTTTGTATCTATAGTTTCAGATGTGACATCTGATACCTGATTATTTGTGCTACCATATTTACTTAGAAAGTTAGAGTTATTATCAGTATCAATATTGCTGCAATTATCAGCAGACACTTTTTTATTTACATGTGTTATTTTCAAATAATTTGAAGGAGCATGAAATGACTGACTTGTTCCATCGCTGATCAACCACCAATCTTTGTTTGTTTTCTCAAGAAGTTGATACTCTTTTCCTTTCTTCAAATGAACAGAGAATCCTTTGTCTGTATTATAACTGAAGTCAAAGAGTGCTTGGACACAAACATTTTTAAGAAGTGGCATGATGAAGGCATTATTCATTCAAACTAAAGTAATAAAAAATAAAACCAGATTAAGCACTTTTGGAAAAACAGAGAAATTAGAAAAATTATTAATAAACATTTCTAATAAAACTTTTAAGTTCCTAAATAAAAACAAAGGATTCAAGATGCTTTAGTCAATCATTCTAATGTAAAGTTCAAAAGAGCATTATAAAACAACATGAATTACTTCATCCTAAAAAACAACAACCTGAAAATGGTTGTGAACCAAATACAAATGTATGGCAGATGATATATTTAACAAATGTAGTATCAAAACCATTGGTTCAATAATTATTTACTTACTGGAATTTGAATAAAGTCAAATGTACAAAGTATACTCCAAACAGCACTATTAAACATTACACTTAGATCTGCAAGAATTAGTTCAGCACTTGTGTCTTCCAACATTTCTCTTCTAATGTTTATTCATCTTGTTTGTTTTTAAAGCAAAGCCACATTGGATTATCTGCTGTGTCCGCTGCAGAGAAACGAACCCCAGATTTTAGTGTTGTAAGTCCTTAAACTTACCACCGACCCACTGAGGGACAACAAATATTTATCACACTAAAATAAACTACAGTAAGTACTTTTTATTTTCTAACACTATAACTACAGTAAAAGCTTTGTTATCTGGCATCTTCATATTTGGAAAGTTCTTGTAACCAAATTTCAATATCTCCAAATACAAATGCTCATTATAGCTTAGCAACACTGCTGTTGCTTTACTTACATTCTTTCCCACTGGCGAGTCTCAGTTGTTAGATCAATGTAGTATAAATCACATTTAAAATATTGTACTTATAAATGTTTTTTACAACATTTAAAATTGTTATTGTTAGGGATGATGCAGAAATGCTGTATTTTAGAACATCAACAAGGTGTTAAAATTATTCCTGTAAAATATCACAAGAAAGGCACTTTCACAACCAAAATTTTCATCTGTTCAGCAATGCCCACATCCAGCAAATGCCAGATAATACAACTTTTACTGTATTATATTATTAATAAGCATTGGTGGTAGTCAAAGTGCAAATACCACGACCTTGTACAGAGTGCAGTCCAATATGGTACTGTGAATTTTTGCTTTCAGTGGTATCAATTTTTCGTTTTACCTTACACTGTTGATTTTCCAACAGATCATATTACTTTAGAGGAAATACCAAAGACAATATACAGGAATACTGAAAAACTTCTGACAAGCATTAAGGAGGTTTCAGAGGTTATACATATCCAATATGCAAACTGCACAATGGAGAAGAGTATACCCATTCTTCACATGAACATCACCATACACCTCAACTTGTCTGAGTGAAACTGACTTTGTCAATTCACAGACATATCTTTAATATAAAACTTTATTAACACATCTGATTTTTATTTATTTGCCACATTTTGTGAAGATATGTGCAGGACATTTGAAATTACAGTCAATGTTACTTCTTTAATACGGGGTTGATCCAATGTACCTACCTACCTACCCTGTACACATTGGGTTAAAGGCTACTATATAAGCACTCCATAGTTATTGTTTTACATTCTTAGTTTTAATAATATTCACAAAGCATGTTAGTGAATAAACAGTGTGATGATGCATATGAATGAAAAATAATAGTTTAAATGTTTGATCACACGTAATCTTTCCAATCAAGAAACTTCTGGTTGTATTTTATCTCTCAAGTTTCTACAAAAACTAGATTCTCTTGAGATCTTCTTTAATGAAATAAACTGTAGCAACTTTTAAACATATTCTTATTTTAATAGAAGATAGTACAGAGTGTATGGTACATAATTTACACCTAAAAGGAGTTTATACATTCCCTCAAGTACAGTAACTATGTTGGATAACATTTATGAAAAGTTCCTAAATTGCAATAATTTTCTGACTTTCAGCTCACATGCACATGTAAATATATATATATTTTTTATGAAACAAAGAATACACTTTAGTTATTTCAAATTATAATTAAAAGAACACATCTCCATGTAAAATATGTGTTCACTTAAAACTTAAAGGTTGAAAAACTACAGACCATCACTGTATTCTTTGATAGTCTTTCCCATTTTCTTTACTACCTTAGGCTAAAATCAACATAATATAATGAATCTGGATAATCTTACAAATATTTATGTCTAAGTCAAACATGCTGTCTTAACATGTATTATTTCACAAAAACAAAGTTCTGAAATCTTCATAGAAATAAATCAAGTGTTAAAGTATTGAAATGGTAATTGAAGAGTTGTTTCAATATGTATCATTACTGATTGATTTAGCTATTATTACATGCTGTATTGAAAAGTGAGGTTTTTTGGATTTTTTCTGTACACTACACAACAAAAGTAACTGCATGAAAAGTATAAAATAATTACTTTTGAAGTAATAATGAAAATTGATCATTTATTAGATATTAAGAACATTTATACACTGATTATACATTATATTGTAGTTTAGTACAAAATATGTTCCATTGGTCCTAAATTATTTAGAACTAAACTGACTGGAAATTGTTTAATTAGTTAGCCACTTATTACTGTATGTAATGTTTTTCATCATTTTATAATTAAGTAAAAATATATTATGTTACGTGCTTAGACTGGAAATAATCGTAGATAAAATTGCATTACGAAACTAAAACTTATTGGTGATAAAGAAATGAAATCAATATACCATTACCAGTCCACGACTGTTCATAACTATCACACTACGTATGGTCATCCATACATTCAGAGCTACTTATTTCGCACTATATTTTTTCTCATGTATATTTGCAAGATACAGCAACGCCTGAAAGTGCACAACCAAATACGCACATTTCTACTCGTGTAAAAAATCAAAACGTGAAACGTCCTTACATGCGTATAATAGTTTCTCAGTTAGAGTATATCGTACCAAATGTTAACGGTTTCGTCGCCTTTCGACGATAGGCAATAATTACATTTTGGTAAATATTTTCGCCTCTATCTTCAAGTAAAGATTTCTGGTACGACTATCACTAATGTTTTATAAACAGTCATTAAAAACTAGCTATGCATATAACAGTCACAGAAAAGAAATGGTATTCGTTAACAGTACTATCAGTGTACCACGTGACTAACAATACACAAGTGTTTGTGTGGCAACAATATACATCGATAATTTTTCTGTGTATTAGTGGCGCTGGCTACCCCCTTATATTTTGGACCCAGTTTCAAAATTTGAATTGCTTTCTTGAATATTGTCACTTTGTCTTATATATATGAATAAACTTTTATACAGCAAAACGGCGGGTAAAGTAACATTAATAAAGTCTTTATGATATAACTGTTATTTTTTTTAATTGTGGGAAAAAATTCGGGGCTAACAGCAACAACGTATTTATTAACCGTAAGTTTTCAACCTTATTTATGAGCTCTTCGTCAAGAGAGAAACAATTTAAATACGAATATTATGTGATACAATAATGTAAAACATTTTCGTTATAATTAATCATGCGTATAGATGTAATTATTTAATTAACATAACTTGCCATCTGTTGTACATTTTTCTGCTTGTAGCACGTTATGTAATGTCATACGAATGCTTTCTTTCGTCCTCAAAAAATATTTTAATACGTATCATGTTTCGACTTTAGGCCAAAATCGGGCACAACCGAAAAGAAGATAACAAGAAACCAATAACCGATAGAACAAATGCTCGTATAATTAAACAAACACACCGATCACGTGCACACCAATAATCACTTACGCTACGTAATAAAATTAAACACAATATTACTCTTATTAGAAAAAACTCTTCGTAAATATAATTAAATAAAATAAAAAGCATATCGCTATTTTTTAGCAAATATAAGATATCATTTACACTACAATTATTTATATTGTTGCAAAAATTATAATATCTTATTACATGTTTCAGCCACATTCGTTCTAGCCAATCATGAGACAGAATGAAAATAAACGAAATAACAGTGTAGGTACTATTGAAAAACTATTTGCAATAATACGAGTACATGCCAGTTTTGACACTATTTATATAAAACACCAATAAATACGTGTGTGTAAAATATTTAACATAAACATAAAACACACACACAAGTTGAACTTTATAACACTGTTAATCCAAATTATTTAAAGAAAAATTTCGGTGTCTAGTTATTTCCAGCGCCTCTCTCACATTCAGTTAAGTGTATTTACTCAAAGCAAATCGGTCTCATCCCAAAGTTAATAGCATGTTCTACAACAAATGATAAAGTGTAATTTTTGTGTTTTACTGAATTTGTACAGTAATTACATAGAACACCATTCCTGTATGCATTGTCAAAGTAGATAAGGAATATATATAAAGCAGGTCAATAATTCAACTACCTGGTAAGCTGGATAACATCAGATGATAAATGTGATCATGAAATAAAACGGAGAACAATGGATGGCAAAAGACGAATTTCCGAAAATGAAAAAATATACTGATAAATAGTAAAATTTCTATGGGGTCGAAGTTAAAAGTTTTGGATTGTTATTTTATACCACTTATCACGTGTGCATCAGAATGTTGGATAATACTGCCAATTATGGAAAAAATTTAGCTGTGGTTTATTATGGCTATCATGAAGGTATGTTGGTCAAGTCACACCTCAAATGAAGATATTTTGTTAAAAGTAAGTTACAGATGGAAGCTGCTGACATGTTAAGAGGAAACTGAAAGTCTGACTGTAACTGGAAAGACTGAAGAAAAGAGAGAGACCATGGAAGACAGGGGTTGAATTATGTCAAGGCTATCTAAATGGATGAATGTATCTCCACTGGTAATTCCTTGTGCCTTAAGAAGAGATCTATGGAAAACAATGATCACCAACGTCCTGTTTGGGTATGGTATATATAAAAAGAGACTGCATTTGTGTTCATCCAAAGACATTTTAGTTCATGATTTGTCTGACACACACAAATATTACTGCATTCACTTTACTTTATAAATTCTAATATGGTCCAAAATTGTTAACATTCAGTGAAGGAAGGTTACAAATTTGGTTAAAAGGACTATACATGATTTTGAAGTTTGAATATCTAGAGAAAAAAAAACCTTTTTGGTTTGAGATCTTGGAGAAATTAGGTAGGCAAATAACTATCTTTTTATGTTAATAACTGAGTGTATCTAATATCAGAAAAATTCATTTTGACAGTTTTATCAATGATTACCAGGTCGTATCCTTTATCTATGTCCACATGTTTAACATAGTCCATTTCATTGAAAATGTCGCATTGTTAGATAAAATATGAAAAACACTAAGTCAGAGTATAGAACACAATTATAAATTTAATGTTTTCGTGTGAATTATTTAATTCGTGTAAAAATTCTTTTAGCTCTAACGTCGCCATGATTCCACACTACAAACATATCTCAGTCAATTTTTTGGTTTAAGTGACAGTTGAGAAAGAACAATGGTTTCAATATGATCTATAAAACTGTCGTTTGGTAAAGAAAGAGTTATCCAACACCTTTGAAACTTCTGTAGACAATAAAGTACAGATGTGCTACAACACCCCACCCCCCTTTATTCCTTTCTTTCTTTTTTACACATATCCTGTTCTGTTTACCAAGACACAAAAAAGAATCTCTACTCCAATAAGTGATGTGCTGCAACAGCACATCGTGTGTTCACACTACTAAGCAGCTATAGGAGAAAATGCCCACCATGGCACCAGTTGACTCAAGGTGAAAACTGGCCCCCTTCTGACAAACTTGAATGCTGTTCCTGATTCTTGCATTGACTTTCACAATACTGCAAGACAAGCCAATGCAGGAACTGTACCTACAAATGAGGAAAAGCTAATTGTTGTGCACAACCATGTGCTCTTGCAGTGCCAAATGCTTAAATGTCTACTTTTTGGGTATTTAATCTCAATAGCAGTCATTTTACTATAACACATCTGTAAAACAGCTTTGTAGAAGTAAATATGATAGCATAGTTTGTTTATGTATTACCCAAAAACACAATTTTGTTCTTATGTATAAAAATAAATGTCATATGACAAAATTTTCTAATATTTAAATTTTTAGCTATTTCTTCCTAATATTTTGTTACTATTTTGTAAAATTCGATTTTGGACATTCTTACACTTTTAAAACATATTCCACTGAATTGCTAGACCTCACCAACTCATAGAAAGTTTTGAAAATTTCCAGTCTAGCTGTTCTAGAACATGAAAAACCACAATTAATAGAGATGGCATTATCTTTGCCACCATCTTGAATTTTAAGCTTCAGGTTTAAATTTCTGCTAGGTAACTGTGATTTTCATAACAAGCAGGGGTAAGTTACGTTAAAAAGACCAGTTGCCTACCTGTTACATGATTTGCCTCATGTACCACATTTTGTGAGAATGCTGCCAATGTTCAAAGGAGGATTGCTAGAATGATTCTTGGGATGGAAGCTAGGGTTCTCATGTATATCAGTTAAGATCCATTTTCTCTTGAGAAAAGTGAGGTAAGAGCTAATGTTATTGACATTTATTATACTATCTGGGGGGATTGATAGGATAAAGGACTCGAGATTTAGAAACATACAGGCTAAGCTCAAGTCGAGATAGTTTTATTTTTCTAGTATGATAAATGGCTTTTGTCATAGGCAGTAAGAGTAGCCAGCTCTTAACAATAGTTTAAAAGGAGTATCAATGATTTCCTGAAAAGTAAAGGGCAGGATTTTTTACTTTTCTCAAAAGTAGATGTACATGTACAGCCTTGAAGGACCGAGTTGTCATTCTCATATTACGAAACATCTCAGGAACACACAAGCAGGTCATAATGAAAAATACTATTTTGAAGCAATAAAGCCTTAACTTTACTATCAAATATACATTTACATGTAGTATTTTTTCTTGGACTAGTGCTACTGATATCTGAACTAGGTATTATAGTTACAATGTATTCAGTTTAGTTTGGTTTGCAATGTCTCTATGTTTACATAGCTGTAATTCTGGGATATATAATTTTTTCTCATTATTCATTATTGAAATGCTATGTTCTACCCAAAGGTAATGACTCTCCTTAATAAATTTCCTGAGAGAACCTAGCCAAAGTCTCTAGATGAAAACCTTGGTAGTCTTGTATGAAGTATAGAAAAAAATTCAGAAACTAAAAACTTAGTTTTTAAAATCAACAGTGCAAGCAAATACAGAATTACAACAAATTTCTAGTTATTGAAATATCATTAATAATAACCTGTAATGACAAATTTTCTGCTCACTTAAGTATATGTGAAACTAATCATTGACTCAGACTGTATGTACCTCATATAAATTATATCAGGTTCGAATAATTTATACTGATAGTGAACCCTGCAGTTTCCTAGCTATTTGTTTGTGAGAAACTGGTTTCATAAAAAAAAGAAAAAGAAATTACAAACATATAAGTAAACTGTAAGGGCACTCAGTAGAGTGCATACTTCCACCATGCAGCATTGATCATATTCGGCCCTAAAAAAATATGAAAATATGTCTGTCATTATCAACAGACACACCACATTTTCAGCAGGACAAGGAGGAATAATATTCTACATATGCCCACCAAATTTCATCAATATCCGATCATTTTTGACTGAGTTATGGAGCAAAAATAGTATGAAAAATTTGGTCCCTTGTTAGCAGATAGGGTATTTTTTTTTATTTTTGTGACCTTGACCCTTCAAAAAATAATCACTTCTAAGTTGGGTCATAGTCCAAATGTATACCAGATTTTGTCCAAATCCATTTAGCCACTTTCGAGAAATCTTGCTGACAAACACACAAAGGGTGAAAGCATAACCTCCGTCCACCTTTGGTAGTGAAGGTAAATATTCCAGCTGGATGAACAAAATATACCACAAACATAAGTTACATGACCAGTATTAAATCTTGCCTGAAGCTTAGTATATTGTGGATAGAATTAGATGTTTTGTTTACCTAGGATAGTTCAGATATGTATATTAAAGTAATCAAGGAAGTTAAAGAATTATAAAATCATTTTAATAGCTTTTTTTGGATTAAAAAAGATGGATTAAATTAACAATAAGCTAGGATTTGTCCCAAGAAATCTATACACTGAAACAAAAATCTGTAGGAC